AACCAAGAGGCGCACGATCCCATTAGGGACACGAAAAGCAAGCACAGAACTAGGCTGATGGACCAAAAGGAGAAGGGAGGACTGGGAGAGGAAGAACTGGAGAGCGAGGGGGTAAAGGAACAAAAAATGAAAAAACAAGCGCACAATCTAATCGCAAAAGACTAAATCAGTTTAAAACAGCTAAACGACATCCACAGCCGAGGTCCTGAAAAAGTCAAAATACAGAGGCCCAATGCGAGTCCTCACAATGATTGAGGCACTCACCACGTTCTTTCATAACAATGCATTCTGTCACCCTCGTCCTATGCTCACTGCCTCACTTATTGTCCCAGCCTTCTCTCTGGTCCAGTTATAAGCAACAGTTACATTTATATCTTATGCATAGCTAGTAGGAGGCTGTACTGTTGATTCCCACTTCGACCTGCACGTGCTTCTCCGCTGTGTTTACGAGTAAGGGATGAAACAGAGACTGCGCTCGGGCTTGAACAAAGTTACATGCAGTACCGTGGTCCATCATTTCAGTCTCTTCTTAATTCACTACTCTCACTGGAAAAGCTGGAAAAAGCAAATACATGCATGCACTATACTCAGAGCTGCGAACACAAAACGATAGAGGGCAGAAAAGCGACACAACAAACAGCAACAAAAATCTCCCAGTTCACAGTTTTATTTTTCAATAGATAAATAATTATCATATACATGCCTTTCATAAAACTACATGAGAGACCAATGATGAAAATTTGTTGCGCATCTGTCACATGTAATTCAACAGAAACATCATAAGCTGCAGGCAAGCATATGTGAAATTGGACTACCGAAAGAAGACTGCACGGAAATACTAAATATGACATGTCAAATATCCAGAAAAATCGACAACAAAATTCAGCACAATTTAAAACCAGCTGGACTACGACAGCATACACAGACCACGACCACCGGCACCTCGTCGAAAGCACTTCACTGCGCGGAACAAAAAGTGCATGATTAACGCAGGTGGATCCAGGCTGTCTCCAGGAGCAGAGGAACCAAGAGTGAGGCTTCCATCGACAAAGAACGAAGGAGGAGAAGTAGAACTGCTGGTGTGGCGACAACGGAAAGGAGAAGTTAAGATCCTGTGAAAAAGAGGGGGG